TTATACCTAGGAATATCTGTCAATGAGACCCTTCACAAGAAAATTTAAATAAATATTTGTTGCATTTTAGGGTTTTAAATTTTGAGTTAAGTCTTGGTGGTCCAAAGCAACAAAGTACAGTATATTTAAAGAGGGTTTGTAGTAAAGGTGAAGATCCTCTGCTTTATCTAATTACTATGTAGGGCCAGCAAGGCTGAGCAAGGGAGGCACCTCACTCCTAAATTTCACTTGGCTCTCCTCACTCACAAGCTATTTTTGCTCTGTGTGATTAAAATATTTCACACAAAGAGACAATTTGGTAGTATATATTCAGGCTCATCTCTACAGCTTTGCATGGGTTGATACCACATAGAACTGTTTAAGCACAGATTTTACTGTGATTTCTATCGATATATTCTCATGAAAAATTAGAATTTTTTAAAGAAATGGATCAAAAAATCTTTCAGAAGTTTTTACTTAATTATTGTATTAACCACAAAGCATTTGTTACCCTCAAAATCCCTTAAAAACTATCTTATCTTCTGGATCTTTATTTCCTTTGCTGTAGTTGATTAGTTTTAATCTGAAAGTTTTAGATGGGAGAGGATCTCTGGTACTAATGTGCCTTGGACATCAGCTGACTTCAAAAACTACAGTGTTCAAAATTTAAAGGAAACTTTAGAAATGATCTCCTGCTGGATTTAGGAGGAATCTTTTGTTTGTTTGTTTAACTGGAATAATGCTAAATAGAAAACTATGAACTGGAAAAACCTCTTCTTGTCTGAACTCTGCCACTTTTACAAAGTGAGACAAAGTAACAAATAAACAAAACAAAGCTATCTTGTAGAGATTGTTTTTAAAAATATGGAGACATGGAGGGGGATTTACACTAAATCACAGTTGGTACCAGTTTAAGCCTTGCATAATTTGAATGGTGGGAAAACGCAGGTATCATCAGAACATCTGAAGTGCATCAAATACTAGCATAGGTTCCCAAACGTTTTTGCCCCATACACCACTTGCTGACTTATATGTTTTCCGTAGACCCCCTGCCCCCTGCAAAGCTTTGATACAAGTCTAAACTTACACCCCCATTTTTTCTCTCTCTGACGTGGACCCCCTGCAAGTTGAAATCGACCCCTGGGGGTCCATATAGACCACTTTGGGATCCTATGAGAGGAACTCCTAGCCAGCAGAAAGGCAAAACAAGCCATTGTAGCAATTAAAGTTGCAGAAGGGGTTTTCCACCATAGTAGGGTGAACTGGTGAGGATCTGGGCCTAAAACAGTTTTTTTGTCATAAATTTCCATAACAATGGTCAGAAAGACAAGTTAATATGCACAAACAAAATCTCTGTTCATGCATCCTGCTCTGACAGAAAGGGAAGAGATGTGTAGGCTAGACAGTAAAGAAGTTTAGCCTAAACACTTCTAAGCTCTAATTTTAAGGAACCCCAAGTTTCAGTTTAACACACATGTTTAGCTCTCCTGTCCAGATCATCTAGACATACCCAGTGGCATGTCAGCTACTTGTCTGACAGCACGCTCTTCATGATATCCATATGAGCACAGCAGCAACCATGTGGGCAAATTCAGTCATATGGCTTTTTTCCTGCACTTGGCTGGCCCTACCTATAAGCAGAATGAGGTAATACCTTGATTCCCATATACTTCAGGGAGAAAGGCCATAATGATTCTCCTTCCCAAACAGCATTTAAAAAACTATGTCTTTGTATCTCATAAGGAGAATCTGGGCATGCTTCTTTACACTATTAAGGATCTGGTTAGTGATGATGATGGAGGAGGAGGAGGAGGACGATCTAGGGGCCTCGTGGAAACAAAAAGCTCAACTTTGTTATTCAACTTTTATTAGGACCAAAACAAAAATTTTATTTGACAGTAGATTACTAGTGAATTTCCAGCAGCTTTTGTTCTCCATCTGTGACCTGAGAATCTAAGGGAATGAAAGGGATTATAATTATATTATAATTGTTCACATATTAAGAAAAAGAAGTTAATCTAAATGGGTGAAATTAGTGGGAATATTTTGCACATACAATTATATATGCTTGAGGAAGTTGAACTTGCATCATGAGGAAGTGTGAACTACAGTACTGAGACTTGGGTAGCTGGCGTCCAGTTGCATTACAAAGTCTTCATAAAATTCCCAGTGAGGTTAAAGTTAATAGATATTTCACCACTGTAAAATTGTTAGGTATGAGATAACTTTGCCAGGTCTTCTAAGGTCAGACTTTGAGGGTTCAGGAACACGTAATGCTAAATGCAGTTTAGCACTGAAGGGGGGCTCAAAAGAGTTTTGATTTGCAGGAGGAGACATTTAACTTTGCTCCCCAATAGCCATAAGGATGATTGACTATGCCCCCAGCAGCATTACAAGGAGCAAAAGCAAAATATTCTCGCTGATGCCAGTGGGAGATGATTATGATGATTTTAGGTTATGCTGGCAGCAATTTTTAATCAGTAATACTACTGGGGACGTAGAGTGTAAGAAAGTGACTTACACTCTGGCTGGTCTGCTCACTGCTGCTTCCTGTTACTGCTCTGTTAAGGAATAAAGCATCATTTTCTTCTTAGGCACTGGGGTGCTGTTCTCACCTCCCATCTTGCTACTTTTTTTCCTCCTTGGAAATAAAGTAACCCACAACAGGGAGGAGGCAGAGATGAAAGACCCACGGCTGGCCAGCTGCAGCATGGAGAATTAGACTTTTTTAAACTTGTTTTTTTCTCCCACCCCTTTTTATTTCTATGCACCCTTAGCTAAATTCTGAGATGTGGCAACACTAGTGTGAAACAGTGGCACCAAGACCTTAAGGACTGAGACAGAAAAAAAAATTGCTTTTGAAGGACAAGTTTTTAGCTACCTACATTAAGACAGATGTGTATATTTCAGAAGGAAATTGCGTTCTTCCTTTTTTCCAAGCAAAGGTGACTAAAACAGATGACAGATAGAGTGAGCCTTTCAGGCAATAATACAAACCACTTCCTTCTTCCCTCTTCTGAAATATGTGTTTATTAACAAACTCACGTATGTATGTGTTTGTGGCTGGATATCTCGGTGAATAGAGTTTGGGAGGTTGATTCCTCGCTGTGCCTTGCAAGAGAAGAGGCACGCTATACAAGCCCTTAAGACAGGGGTTCCCAGCCTTGGATCTCCAGGTGTTCTTGGACTACAACTCCCAGAAATGGTGAAGGCTTCTGGGAATTTTGATCCAAGAACATTTGGGGACCCAAGGTTGGCAACCATTGCTCTAGAAGAAAGAGGAGATAAGCTGTTTTTGAGTTCTCTATACCAAGAAAACATTGAGAAGGATCTCCAGGAGCTGGAGTCAGCTTGATGGCTTCTACTTTTTATTAATACAGCTCAATTTTTTTTAAAAAAAAATTTGAGCTGCCAAATAGTTGTTGAACTGCCCAGATATGCCTGGTATCTAAAGATTCAATTTATTGAAGAAGAGAGAAAAGAACATGCACCCTGAAATGGATCATCTATGCTGGAGCCAGACCAAATTGTGCCAGCAGGGGCAAGAAAGTAGAGGGAAGCCATAGGAGAAAATCACTCCTGCTTCTAAAGAACGTTTTTCTGTATGGTACTTGCATGAATGATTCATTTATTTATCATTTAATGCTTCTTGAAACAATAGTTCAGAAGCACCCTTCAGCCTCACAGCAGATGTTCAGGCTAAGGACCAGCAAGCCAACAGCACTTAATAGGGGAGCAGGAATTGAATATTTGGTTCTCATATCCAGAGAAATAAGCCCACACCAGACTTATTTATTTGCAGTAGTTCTACAACTGCATAAAGTTAAGCTGTGGGAAGGAGGTCTCCTCCTGCATGAAGGCAGCGGGAGGCCTCTGTCACTAAATGAAGGTCTGCAAGTTAGTTTTTCTTGAAGAGAGGGTACCCGAGTTGCCAGCACCGTGCTGAGAGGGTGTGCTGAGAATACCTGCTCTAGCAAAGCATTTGTTATCCACAGAGCCAGCAGATGTCCACCCCAGACTCTGGAGACCCCGAACCTATAGTCTTACTGTCCAAGGAAAGACTTTGCCTTTTCTTTCTACTTCACTAACCCCGGACATGCTTCTCCCTGGTGTTTGTGGTCACTTTGCAGCTCTCTTCTTTGGAACATTATGTGTTGCAACAGAAGGGCAAGCAGCTTCCCAGTATTTGTTACAAATCTGTGGAGCCAGGCCATCTGTTAGCAAAACAGGAAGGCCCGGGTTCCCTTTCTCTCCAGGGCTTGGTTTGCTATTTTGGGGAGCGCCTCTTCTCCCCATGTAGAAGAAAGCTGATGTGGTTTGAAGCAACGTACTGCCGAGCATGCGAAGGCCAAAAGACTGAAGCTGCTGTTTTGCCCATCTGCCACTGCTTGAGGTGTATTCATTATTAATGGAGGTAGTGGCGGTTGCTGTTCAGATATGCAGGCCTGCCTGGGTAAATGAGACATTCTTCAGCAAATTGCTTCGTTTTTTGATTGCTGATTGTACGCGTGTCACCAAGCTGACTCAAGGTTCATCGATGCATGCTCAGTAAATTAGAAAGAACATAACTATGGATCAGCCAAGAGAATGAATTCTTTGCCTACAATGACCCAGGGCCATTTAATTTTCTGCTTAATTTTGTTGCAGTCAGTTTGCATTTTGGGTTATTATGCAGTAGGAAATTAACAATAAATAACAAATTTGGTCCTCCTGTGCTTGTAATGATATTTTTATAAATCTTTGTAATGCTCTTTTTAAAAGGATCAAGGTCTGTGCCAGCCTGATACCCCCACAAGTATGCAGGATGGGAAAGAAAGGGGGGAAAATACATTAGTCCTGCCAGATAATCTCATAGTTAAATAGGAAATATATTTTTCCCTTTCTCCCTCTCTTCTCTCTCCCTCTCCCCCCCCCCCAGTTTCTTTTTGTTTTTTTTTTTTTTACTTTAACT